AGCTGTTCTCCTAGCACACACAATCAGGCTGTGTCTCCAGTAGGACAGAACCAAGGAAAACCACACAATTTCTCCTGAGGGCAAAACTGGATGGCTATCCCCAGAAAGATTAAAATCCCTATAGAGAATGTAGTATGTGCATTTTTTCTGTCTCTCTCTATCTTCTTTTTTTTTTTACTTCATTAATTAAATCATGAAGTTGTTTCATGAAAACCTATTTCCATATTAGCCATATCATAAAACCAAGAAAAATAAAGTAAGTAAAAAACAATACTTCAGTTTACATACAGAGTTCATCAGTTCTGTCTTTAGTTGAGAATGGCATTTTTTTATCACAAGTCTTTTGGAATTATTTTAGTAATTGCATAGATAAGAACAGCTAAGTTCTTCCCAGTTGATTAATATTACAACATTGCTGTGACTGTGCAAAATGATCTCCTGTTTCTGGTTATCTCAATTTGCATGAGGTCATATAGGTCTTCCCATGTTTTTTCTGAAACTACCCCCGACCCTGATCATTTCTTATAGCACAATAGTACTCAATCACAATTATGTGTCACAACTTCTCCAGCCTTTACCCAGGTGGGAAGCTTCCCTTCAATTTCCAAATCTTTGCCACCACTAAAATAGCTACTATAAACACTTTCATGTGTATGGGTCCTTTCCCTTTTCCCTTGATCTCTTTGGGATACAGACCTGGCAGTGATATTGGTGGGTCAAAGCATATACAGTTCTATAGTTTTTGGGACATAGTTCCAAATTGTTCTCCAGAATGGTGGGACCAGCAGACAACTCTACCAGCAATTCATTAGTGTACTTATTCCTCCTCATTCCTTCTAGTATTTGTCATTTCTGATAGATATGAGGTGATACCTCAGAGTTTTTCAAATATGCATTTCTTTGAAACTTAGTGATTTAGAACATTCTTTCACATGATTATATATATCTTTAATTTCTTCTTCTGAGTGCTCCCAGTTCATACCCCTTGACTACTGATCAATTGGGGAATAGCTCTTCTTTTTATAATTTTTACTAAGTTCCTGTTATACTTGTGAGAGAAGATATTTATCAAAGAAATGTATTATAAAAAATGTTATATCACTTTATTGTGTGTGGTAACTTTTAGTAAAATTGTAGTTTTCCTAACTATCATTTTAATTAGGTCTATTTTTGCTTGGTCTGAGATCACGGTCTTTTTGCTTCACCTGAAATATAACAGATTCTGCTCCAGTCCCTTATTTTAACTCTGTGTGTGTGTGTGTGTGTGTGTGTGTGTGTGTGTGTCTGTGTGTGCGTGTGTGTGTGTGTGTGTCTTTCCGTGTCAGCTGTGTTTTTTGTAAACAACATATTGCTGGATTCTGGTTTCTAATCCATCCTGCTACCTACTTCTGTTTTATGGGTGAGCTCATCCTTTTCAACTTTGTATTTATGATTACTCATTGCATATTTCCCTCCATCCCATTTACTTCTTTCTTCTCTCTGTCTCTCTCTCTGTCTCTCTCTCTCTCTCTCTCTCTCTCTCTCTCTCTCACTTTCTCTTTCTCCTTTCTCTTCTCAAAGGTCTATTTTGCTTTTAACCACTGCCTCCCTTAATCATGCCTTCCTCTTGTCAGCCTCTACTCCCTTTCTATTATCCCTTTCTCCCATTATTCCCTATTGGATAACATAGATGTCTATATATAAATGAGTATGCATATTCTTCCCTCTTCCCCTTCACCAAATCTGATGAGAGTGAGGTTGAAGCATAGCCCACTAACTCCCCTCACATTTCTCCCACCAGTGTAAAAGCTCTTTCTTGCATGCCTCTTTTATGTGAGAAAAAAATTTCTCATTCTATCTCTCCATTTCTCCTTCTCTAAGTGCTCCCCTCTTTCTCACTCTATTTTATCTGAGATCACCCCAACATAATTAACTTACATTCATAGTCTCTATGTATACTCATTCAAACTGCTGTTAAAATGATAAAAGTCGTATGAGTTACATGTATCACCTTGACGTATAGGAATGTGCTAAATTTAATTGTATTGAGTCCCTTATGATTTCTCTGTGTTGTTTATGTTTTTTATGCTTCCCTAGAGTCTTGTGTTTAGGAATGCTTAAAATTTCTCTCTTTTATCAAATGTCCATTTTCTCCTTTGAATGGTCATACTCAGTTTTGCTGCAGTTTATTCTTCAATGTAATCCTAGGTATTTGCCTTCCTGAATTTCATATCCCAAGCTTCCTAGTTCTTTATTGTGGAAGCCTCTAAATCTTGTGTGATCCTGACAGTGGTTCCTCTATATTTGATCCATTTATTTGTGACTGCTTGTAAGAATTCTCCTTCACCTGGGAACTCTGCATTTTGGCTATAATAATTCCTGGCAGTTCTCATTTTGGGATCTCTGTAAGGAGGTGATCAGTGGATTTTTTTTCAATATTTTATTTTACTGTCTGCATCTAAGACAGCAGAGAAATTTTCTTGTGTAATTTCTTAAAATAATGCCTAGGCTCTTTCTTTGATCGTGGTTTTCAGGCAGTCCAGTAATTCTTAAATTACCTCTCCTCTATTTTCAAGTCCAATTGTTTTTTTTTCTGATGAGATTTTTCATATTTTCTTCTATTTCTTCATTCTTTTAATTTTGTTTTATTGAAAGAAGCAAGCCACCCTCCATTGAAACTGGCTGTGGATGGAAGGGCCAGTGTTTTGAAGTAACACCTGCCATCAGCTTCTAGAGCCCTACTGTGAGTTATGGAAACTATTGCGTTTATGGCAGGGGGTGTAATGGGGAGGAAGAATGGAAATAGCTCAGTGGTAGTAATTGTTCATTTGTATTAATGTATATGAGCTGGTGCCCAGCAGGCTGCCATGCCCCAACACCCCTGCCAGTGCTCCCATGCCCCAGCCCTGCTAGGGGGAACCCTGAGTCCCTGCTCCATTCTGACCTCAAGACTCCCAGCTCTGCAGGGCAGGCTCTCTGATGTGTTCTAGGGAGTCCTGGGCCTTGTCCTTTGCCCTGCCACTAACACCCTTACTTGCTCAGGACTTTCTATCCACCCTGCAGGTGACTCTTCCTGTGCACATTGTTGTCCCAAATTAGAGTGAGAGCTCCCTGAGAGCACTGACTGTCTTTATCCATTTTTGATGGCAGGTTTTAGCATGGTTCTTGACAAATAGTAAGCACTTAGAGTGCTTTTCATTTCATTCATTCATTCATTCATTCCTTTTCCAAAAAATTACTTGTGTTTTAAGCCTTGTCAGCCTATGTGCTGGTCAGGAAAACTGACACTGCTGTTGGAGGTGGGAGTGGATTGTCAAATGCTGAAGTTCCCATATCACCTGGAAGTGTGGGTTTGGGCAGAGAAAGAATTTGTCAAAGACATGAAAGGTCTTTGACAGTATCTGTACCCTTCATTACAAGAGGGAACCACTGAACAAGGGTCATTCTCCCATGTCCTCTTTTGGTGACAAAGTACACCCATCAGACTCAAGTTTCTAGAAGACACTGGGACTAAGTCCTCAGCTGCATTGCAGATCAATAGAGTGAAGTCTCCTAGAAGAAAGAGTTCTGAGTGCCTGAGACAATGTGCATAGCTCTTCCACTGTGAGTGTGTATATGTGTGTGTGTGTGTGTGTGTGTGTGCGCGCGTTTCTATGTTTGTGTCCATTTGCATGAATGGGAGTACGTGTGAGAGAAAGTGTGACTTTATTCTACAGAGATTACAGGAGGGAAGTAGGAGAGACAAATGCAGTAGAGACAGTTCCCTCTCCTACCATACTTTCATCCCTCTGCCTCAGAACCTCAACATACTTCTCTAGTTTTTCTGAGGGCAGTGACTCTTTCCTTTTTATCTTTGAATTCCTAGCACCCAGAGCACAGTATGGCATGTTGTAGGTTTTTAATTAATGTTTTTTGACCAATTTAGTGTCATTGAAAATTATGTACCAGTCTTTTGCTTCCCTCTGGTGGTCCAAAAAAAATGTTGAAGAATATTATATACTGGTCTTTCTTGACATCTAGTGGTAAAAGTACACATTACAGAATTTAGACCCTGCATTGTAAAGAAAGGCCAGAGCAGGATATATTATACAATTGAGATACCTGTCTTGTGGCCAATGCAACAATCTTTTGCACTCACTCTCAGGATGATCTCACCTACTGGCAAAATGTATTGATTTGAATAGCATGAGCTCTTCTCTGAGGGACTTATGCTTTTCATTATTATGAAGTATCGATAGCTCTTTAGATTTGTTGGAGCTTCCCTATTTCCCAGGGACCTAAGTAGCTGACATACTGCAGTAGAAAGTCATAAATCACATCTCCTGACTCTCTGACCTATTCTTGTGCTTATAACTGCTAAATAAACTGAACCAAGGGCTCTACTTCTGTTTCCAGTGTTCTTACTCTGGTTCTGTACTCCTCTGAAAGATCACAAGGCTCAATGATCCTTAAGACTTGAAACAATCACAATGCTCAATGATTCTACTAACTTAAGAACTGTTGCCACAGCACCCAAGAAAGCCAGTATTGTCTCAAAAATGCCTGCATGCATAGGCCTGGCATCAAAACTGCTTAATCAAGACCTAAAAATGACTGTGTGGTGCTCCTGCCATTTGTGATGTTCGTGCGTCAAAACCCTACTGCTACTATAAACCATAAGACCTCCTTCTCTGGAGGACTTCTGTTTCCAAACATTTTCCTCACTTTTAAATTAACTTTCTGTTTGATTTCTGATTGTCCTGTCTCTAGCCTGCTTTGTTCCACCCTGGCCACTTACAGGTTAGAGACTGGTTCCTCTGTAGTTGACAGTGATCATCAATGGTAGATCTCAAAACTATATAACAAATCAGTGATTGTGAAAACAATTGTTGTTATTTCCTGGCTCTATTTGGGGTTTTCATGGCAAAGATCCTGGAGTGGTTTGCAATACCCTTCTGCAGCTCATTTGACAGATGAAGAACTGAGGCAAACAGGGACAAGTGATTTGTCAAGGGTCACACAGCTGGAAAATAAGGCTAGATTTCAACTCAAGAAGATAAGTCTTTGTGACTTCAGGTCCAGTGGGACACCTAGCTGTCCAGGAAACAATTTTAACTTATTAAAAATTGAGAGATTAACCAATGGAAAAGATTAGCCACACAATATATGGAAACAAATAAATAAAAGTGTTTAATACATTCAGCAGGTGGTGTGGGATGGGGTAGAAGCAGGGAAAGACCCACTATTTAATTAAAAAAAAAACAGAACAGGTAAGGGAAAAGAAGCTTGCCAGAAATTTGATAGGATATCAACACCATACAGCACCGATTAAATTTAAATAAAAAGAGATTTAAAAAAGTAGATGTAAAAGGGGAATCAATATCAAATTAGAGGAGTAAAGAGGAAATTAATTTTCCCATCTATCGATAGGGGGAGAGATCATAACAGAACAAGCAATGGAGAGGATCACAGAAAATAAATGAATAATTCTGCTTCTATAAAGTTAAAATCTTTTTGCATGAACAGAACAAATGAAGTTAAAATAAGAAGGGTGACAGTTAAGGAAGGAAAAACATCTTTGCAGTAAAGTTCTCTGAGGACTGTTGCATGTGCAAGATAAAGTAGGAACCAATTACAATTTCCAAAATGAAGAACCATTCTCTAATAAATCCAGGGATATGAACAGTAAGTTTTCAAAGGAAATAATCCAAGCTATTCATAGTCCTACGACAAGATGCTCCAAATCCCTCATAACAAGAGACATGCACATTAAAACAACTCTCTTCTTTCAGTCTGTAAATCATAGAGATCTGCAGGTTCGGGGACAGTCACCTCTTTGTGTTCTATAACAAGGTACATGGAAATGCCCTTTTCACCAGGTGCTGGTTGAAACCAGAATAAAAAAATAAATATACAATCAAATTAAATGACACTAAATGAAAGACATGATATGGAAAAAGGGAGGGGAAGAGTTCCTAATGTCTCAGGTATTTGTGACCCCAGCTGTAGCAAATGGCTTGGACACCACAGGGCTGGCACCTTACTGGAGGAGAAGCAGCAAAAACCCTGCGGGGGGGGGGAAGACAGATAAAAACCTGCAAATGGGATTGATATACCCCAGGTTTTACAGTTTAGTCAGGAATTTATTTTTTAAAAGCCCCAGTTTTTAATTCAAGTGGTCCACATTACTTGGTAAAAAAAAAATAATTCTGGCCAAGTTCAAGGAAAGAAACTTCTCAAGATGCTGAAGCTACCACCCCCCCACACACACAAAGGGAGAGAGCCTGATTGTATATCTCTGTATTCTGGGCCCAAAACCTGCATTATTTAACTGATTGGCCAAAACTGACCCAAGATAACCCTCAATATCATTAGCCAACTTGAGGTGCTTTACACTGGGGTAAAATAAATTACCTTAACAAATATTTTGATGAAGCTGGCAAGAAAATTAAATACCCAGAGTGGAATGCTTTTAGTAAATTACTACTCTAAACCACTAAATAGAAACCTCTTGTTACATGGATTCTTTTAAAGAAACCTTAAATGGAATGAAATAGAATGGGGAAAGGGTAGAAGAGAAGATTTGTGTCCTTCAGAATGACAGTCAGAATGGTATTGCTTAATTAAAACAGTAAAAGAGGGATTTGCCTGTTTGTAGGACCAAGTCACCTGTGGCAGCAAAGATTTATCCACCCATCCCTGAGAAAAATTCACCCCCTTGGCTCCGAGGATGAGGAAGGGAAGGGGGAGGCTCATCCTAGACTGTCTCCTTTCTTCCCAGCCCCAAGGTCAAGCCAAGGATGAGAGGAATGAAGGATGGAAGGATGGAAATTTCCACCTGAGTAGGGGTGGGAGGGAGTGTTTTCAAGGCTTTTTGCTGCTCACCTCTATGCCACCCCACCCCGAAGCCCTAGACTTCCAGACAAAGGCCTGGGCAGGCAGGAAGCCCCAGGCAAGAATCAGCCCAGGAGGAGCAGGCACACAGAGGTACATACATATACACACACATGCACTATCCTACTTACACTCACAACACATGCATAAACAAAGGTACTAATACTTCCACGACCCCGCCATCCATGCCCAAACACATCTCTGTGGGCACTAAAACAAGCCAATTTGTGGTGGGGGGAGGTTCAGGAGCAGGTTGAAGAGGTGCCAGAAGAGAATATAAGGAGGGGGGATGCAGAGGGGCTGCAGGAGAGGCAGTGGAAGGAGGAGGGGAGAGGCTTAACTCATGCACAGGAAAATGCAGGAACTTATGGGATCCTTGAGCAGGAAAGGGGAGGGGAAGAGGAAAGGGTTATGGGCAGGCAGATCTCCAGCTGCTCATGACACCCTGCTATACAGATTCATGGAAAAAGGCAACTTATTCCTCCTTCTCCTCCTCCTCCTCTTCCTCCAGAGACAAAGATGACTAACCTTGTTCGAGGATGGAAGGGCAGGGTTAGTATCCACACAGAACAGAGGGAAGAGGGAGAAGAGAGGGGAGGGGGGACCTCTCTGTCATTTCTTTCAACTTTTATTACCCAGACTGTCATAGGGAACAGGCAGCAGTGTCTCTTCTGGTTGGAGGAGAGCCCAGGTTTGAACAGAGTCAGGGGGATGGGGTGGGGTGGTGTCCTGGACAACACATAAGAGAATAGAACAGTGAGTTCAGCAGCAGCAGCAGACCACCAGCCCCTGAATGGGACTTGGATTTTTAACAACCCCCTGAGCAGAGGAGGAAAGGGTTAGGAAAGGGAAGGAGCAAATCTTAACCTCCTTTCTCTAGGCATGAGGAGAGAAAAAACAGGCCAGAGGAGTGAGGGACCTGGGTACATCCAAGCATGCACTTAAGTGTGCCCCTGACAAAACCTAGGCTGCTAAAAACTGGAGGCAGTTGCTGCTGGGCAACTCCCTCTTCAAATGAAAGAAAGTTAAGGCAGAAGGTTGGGGATTCTCCCAGGCTCCCCTGCCCTGAGAAGCTGGGGAGATTAATGACCATGCTCTTCTACATAGATTAGGGAGGGATAGTCATGTCAGAGGATAACTAAATAGGTGAGTCCAAGGAAATGGGAAGCAACCATGTCCAGACACTATGCACCAGGCAAAGTGTAAATGTAACCTACTGACAAGTACAAAACCAGGGGGAAATATGTACAAGAAAATGGCTGGTCTTAGCTATGAAGGATATTTGTTAAATAAGTAGCAAGTTTTGGACAATAGTTTTCCAGTGTCAAATCAGGAAAGCCCAAGCATAGTGTGAAAGGAAATTTACCCTGGAATACACAAAACTCAGACCTTAAAGGAGAATCTAGATGGAGTCTTTGTAGTAGTAGTAGAGCTTGGGTTCCAGTCTGGCTCCTCTGACTCCATATCCCACTATTCTTGCCATTGGACCATGGCCTCCATCCTAAATAAAGCCTCTCCTTCAAATCTCTTCTGTGTGTTCTTTGTCTGTTGCCCCACTTCCATCTTTGCCCAGTCCTTACTTCAAGACACCACATGGTTCCAAAGGATCATAGACTTTCAATCTCCACCTCAGATCACCCTCAGCATCTACTGAGTTGAATCCCTTATGCTACAGAGCAAAATGAAACCCAGGAAGGTAAAGGGACTTGCCCCAAATTACATTTAAGATCACAGATCTAGATTTGGAAGGGACCTCAAAGGTCAACTAGTCCAACCTTCTCATTTTACAGAGAAAAAAAAAACCTGAAACTCAGAGTGGTGATGAGAGCTGTCTGATGTCACACAACTAGTAAGGTAGGATGTGAACCCAGATTTTCCACACTCAGAAGTAAGCAATGTATCCATTAGATTCTACTGCCTCTTATACTCTCATCTCACTAGCGTACCCTCATTTCTCTAGATGTTCTAAGACCAGAAAGATAAGGAATATGTTTCTTTTCTCAATGTCAAAAAAAAGTCATTTGCAAAACCATCTGATTTCACCTTGTGAACATTCAACAAATATTGATGGGCCTGAACTGATCTTTTGGGGGAATTCTGTTTATATCCTACTCTCTCCCTAAAGCAGAGGTTCACAAACTTATTTGGCCTATCATTCCTTTAAAAAAAATTACTCATCACCCCCCTGTAAATTTATTTTTTAAACTTTTATTGTTTTTTTCTGAAATTTGTATATCAAAATATAGTAATATATATTAATTTTCTTAAAATTATGCATCTTAAATTTAATAATTTATTGTAAATTTGTAGATTTTCCCTACAGCAAAATTTTGATGATCTAATATCTTATCATGTAACCTTATGGTGTCATATTGTAAACAAATTATTATAAACATATATTCGTATGGATAAATGCTGGACAGTGCGTGACATGCTTGCTTGCTGACACTTGCTTGATAAGACTTGTCAATGGACTTGACCAGTGATCGGTTATAACTTGCATTTTCTGTGTTTACTTAGAAAATAATTTAATCACTATGACTTTAACTCTATTATACAACAGGTGAAACATGTATGAACAGTTTTTTTTCAAAATGTTCTTCTCTTCTCTTCTTTACTTACACTTCCAATGTCTTCTTCTGTTTGTTCAATGCCCACTTCCAATTGCACCCAAAGCTATTACTGCCTCCCTGGATTTTTCAATGTATCAATCAGTTGTGTTGCATTATTTTTTCTCTTTAAAAATACTCTTGGTCATGGCAGATAGTTCTCTGGGATGGCAAGGGAAATTATACATAAGATAACTTAAGTGATATACCATAAACATGCAAAAAAATGAAAACATTCTTTTTAAAAGAATTGATAAGGCATATCATAGAAAAAAGTAACATGGAAAAAAGGTTAAGGATTGAAAATTTAAGAAGTATTAGAAAACCTGAAAGCTATGCCATTCAAAAGAGCTTATATATAATATTTCAAGAAATCAAACAAAACTTTTTAGACATTATGGATCCACAAAACAAAGAAGAAATGGAATATAAAGATCCCCAGAAAGGACCTACCAAAATGAAAACTCCCAGAAACATTACAGCACAAATCCTGAGTTTACAGGTCAAAGAAAAAGTGTTGCCAGCATCCTTTAAAGAAAGGATGCAAGTAACAAAGAGCCATAGTAAGGAATACATGGGATTTTCAGCCATTCCCCTAAAGGAGTTGAGAGCTCAAAACATGATATTTCAGGAACACAGAATATAAGCTTACAAAGTAACTTGCCCATAAATATAGTATAATCTTACAAGGGAAAACATGAACTTTTACTGAAATGTAAGACTTTCAAACATTCCTAATGAAAAGCCTAGAGCTGCATAGGAGCTTTGAAGTGTAAACACAGCATTCAACCTAAAGCCAGCAAAGTTCCCAGGTGGATTCTAATCTAAATCCACTTCTGGGGCTAGAGTCCCATCTATGAGCCACTCCCAACCATTACAATAAAAAACACAGAGATATAAAGGGAGAGTAATAAGATGGAAGGTTGATGCCAATGGGGGGAGATGGTTGGGTTCTGCTGATCCCAAGGGTTTTTTTTTTTAGTGGAAGGGAGACCTCAGCCTAAGAATAGACCCTGTGGAGATAGGTAAGACCATTGGAGAGGGAAGAACAGTTGTCTTGACTTTTGCGGGTACAGCCAATCAAACAACTTTTTATTAAGTGCCTGCTGTGTACCTGCCAGGCACTGAGAACAAGTACCAATCTTTTATATTTTGCATTTTTCACCAGGTGAAAATGAAATCTGTCCTATATTTGCTATGTTAGTAGCCTGATTGCTCACATGCAAGCTTAAGGTACTTTAAGATTTCTTTCTGGAGAATTAAAAGCCAAATTCTGATGTCCCTTGGGGAAACCATGGTTAGGTGGCAAGAGCTGCTCTAGGGGAAGGGGGGGGTGGAGCCAAGATGCCAGAGTGAAAGCAGTGACTTGCTTGAGCTCTCCCTCAAATCCCTCCAAATACCTATAAAAATGGCCCTAAAAAAATTCTAAAGCAGCAGAACCCGCAAAAAGACAGAGTGAGCCAAATTTCCATCCCAAGACAACCTGGATGGTTGATCAGAAAGGTATACTGTGCCAGGCAGTGAGAGGAGCACAGTAATCGTGGGCAGCTGGGGCGGCTTCCAGACCTCTCAACCCACAAACACCAAAGACAACTTAGAAGGTCAGTGGGAAAAGTCTGTTTCTGTGGTGAGAGAGGAGCTAGGTCTCAGAGCTAGTTCCAGAGCGCAGAGCGCAGGCACGGGGGCTGTGGCTGCGTCCTGAGCTTCCAGCCCACAGACTGAGAGGGAATCCAGTGGCTGATCAGAGGGGAATCATAGGGATCTCTTTGCCAGTGCTGAGGAAAGAATCTTTTCTTTGCCTGTACTTGGATCTGGGTCACAGTTCTGGGCGATGGTCCTGAGGCGAGGAGGAGTGCTGGTGTGGTGGAGCTTGTAGTGGCAGTAGAGAGGAAACATTCCTCACAGTTCCAGGACAGAAAGGAGTGCTTGTGGTCACTAATAGACCAGAGCACAGGCCAGAAAAGGAGTAAACACCTTGCCCCTTATCATACCAACTTGCAAGAACTGAAAGTTTACAGGTCCCTACAAGTATCTCTGAAAACAGCTGTATAAAACCCATGAAGCTTGGGAAAGTGCATTCTCCAGATTGGAAGCAGACTCTTACCCTTAACAAAGAGCTTAAGACTCAAGTAATTGGCCAGGATCATGAGCAAGCAGCGCAAAAAGAGTCAGACTATATTATCTTACTTTGGTGACAAGATCAAAACACACAACCAGAAGAAGACAACAAAGTCAAAGCTCCTACATGCAAAGCCTCCAAGAAAAATGTGAATCAGTCATAGGGCTTGGAAGAGCTCAAAAGGGATTTTGAGAATTAAGTAAGACAAGTAGAGGAAAAACTGGGAAGAGAAAAGAGAGTAATGCAAGAAAACCATGAAAAACAAGTCAATGGCTTGCTAAAGGAGACCCAAAAGAATACTAAAGAAAAGAACACCTTAAAAAATAGCCTAACCCAAATGGCAAAAGAGGTCCAAAAAACCAATGAGGAGAAGAATGCCCTAAAAAGAAAAATTGGCCAAATGGAAAAGGAAGTCCGAAAGCTTACTGAAAAAAATACTTCCTCAAAAGTTAGAATAGAGCAATTGGAAGCTAATAACTTTATTTTTTTAAATTTTATTAATTTATTTTGATTTATCAACAATCACTTCCATATGCTTCTGACTTGAACATTTTTCTCCCCCTTCCTCCCCCCCACCCTCCCCTAGACGGTGCACAATCTGATGTGGGCTTTACATTTACATTCTTATTAAACATATTTTCACATTAGTGAAGTTGTAAGTAAAAATTAAAACCAGTAGTAGGAACCATCAGAAAGATGAAACAAAACTCAACAGAAGGTAAAATTAAGTGATAGTGATTCAACTTCCACAGTTCTTTCTTTGGATGTGGACAGCATTTTCCATCCTGAGGCCTATGGAGATGTCTTAGATCCTTGTAATGCTGAGAAGGGTTCAGTTTAGCAATATTAGTCTTCACATAACATGGCTGTTATTGTGTACAAAGTCCTCTTGGTTCTGCTCACTTCTCTCAGCCTCAGACCATATAAGCCTTTCCAGGCTTTTCTGAAGTCAGCCTGTTCACCATTTCTTATAGCACAATAGTATTCCGTTACATTCATATACCACAGCTTGCTCAGCCATTCCCAATTGATGGGCATCCTCTCAATTTCCAATTCTTTGCCACCACAAAAAGAGCTGCTATGAATATTTTTGTACATGTGGGTCATTTTCCCATTTGTTTGATCTCTTTGGGATACAGCCCTAGAAGTGCTAATGCTGGATCAAAGGGTATGCACATTTTTGTAGCCCTTTGGGCATAGTTCCAAATTGTTCTCCAAAATGGTTGGATCATTTCACAACTCCACCAGCAATGTATTAATGTTCCAATTTTCCCACATCGTCTCCAACATTTATCATTTTCCTGTTTTGTCATGTTGGCCAATCTGATAGGTGTGATGTGGTACCTCAAAGTTCTTTTGATTTGCATTTCTCTAATCAATAGTGATTTAGAGCATTTTTTCATATGACTATAGATGGCTTTAATTTCTTCATCTGAGAACTGTCTGTTCATATCCTTTGACCATTTATCAATTGGGAATGGCTTGTATTCTTGTAAATTTGACTTAATTCTCTATATATTTTAGAAATGAGGCCTTTATCAGAGAGACTGGTTGTAAAAATTCTTTCCCAATTTTCTACCTTCCTTCTAATCTTAGTTGCACTGGCTTTCTTTGTGCAAAACCTTTTCAATTTAATGTAATCAAAATTATCCATTTTGCTTTTCATAATGTTCTCTATCTCCTGTTTGGTCATGAATTCTTCTGTTCTCCATAGATCTGATAGGTACACTATTCCCTGTTCTCCCAGTTTACTTATACTATCAGCCTTTATATCTAAGTCATAAACCCATTTTGACTGTATTTTGGTATATGGTATGAGATTTGGGTCTATGCCTAGTTTCTGCCTTACTCTTTTCCATTTTACCAGCAGTTTTTCTTCAAAGAGTGGGTTCTTATCCCAGAAGCTGGGGTCTTTGGGTTTATCAAATAATAGATTACTATAGTCATTGACTACTGTGTCTTGCATATTTCACCCATTCCCCTGATCCACCTCCTTATGTCTTAGCCAGTACCAAGCAGTTTTGATGATTGCTGATTTATAATATAAGATCTGAAACGGCTAAGCCACCTTCTCCTGCATTTCTTTTCATTAGTTCCTTTGATATTCTGGACCTTTTGTTTTTCCA